TATAGCATTGTTGTTGTCAGTTTTTACAACAATCTTGATAAGATAGAAGTACGGAACGCCTTAAGTTGTGAAATATTGAATTAAATGAAGCCAAAATGCCAGCAAAAACAACAAAAAACGTGACACGTTTTTGTGGATGATAATAAATATAAGATATTCGTTTGAAAAGAAAGTGATTTGTGGCATGTAATTTTTGTTTTTGGTGTTAACTACAATTCCTTTAGGCCAGTTTTTCGAGCAGAGTAAAAAAATATTGAAATGCAGCAATGCAAATTTACCTGAAAGTCTTAAGAGGTTAATGGGATTCTGTTGAAATTACTTTATTATTTATGTTGGGGGTATTTATTTTGTATGTAGAGATTTAATTTAAGAGGGAAACTAAAATGTGTAAGAAAAGGGATCATTTAAATTCATTGGACGACAAATGGACGGGATAAAAAAGGAACATCAGTAAAATCATGGAACTGATTACGAACGATCAAAGAGTATTGGCGTTTAGAAATTTACGTCGTATGATCTTCCTTTTTATGATTTGTATAAACATTCCGCATACGATTTCTTGTAACCTATCTTGTGATAGATCCCTGCAACATGAACCTTAATATCTTTATTTTATTCAGCCAGTAATTGGCGTCACCATGGGCTTGTAGAGGCTCACCATGCACAAATACAAGCTGAAATTAATTTTAAACACAAAGAAAAATGTCATATGGCGCCCAACTACGGCTACGGCGTCTAATTAACAAATGCTAACTATACCAAAAAATTATTGTCAAATGGCGCCTAAAAAAGATTTCCAGGCGCGTCGGTCTTGTGCGCATCTCGTCAAATTTGAAAGACCATTTTTCGAGATATTGTCTTCCACTTGATCTTTCCATCGGATTCGTGGCCCTCCCCTTCTGCGTGAACCTGAACGTGACGGCAATATTCACAGTCGACGCAGATCGGCCCACAGAGATTTTTTGGAGAATTTTTCTCTCAAACACTCCAAGAGCTGCCTTATTTGCTTGCGCAAGTACCCATGCTTCAGATCCATACAGCAGGACGGTTAATATCAGCGACTTGTAGAGTGTGAGGCCTAGCGAGAGGTGGCCTTGCTTTTGAGTTGCATTCTCAGACCATAGTAGGATCTGTTGGCCGGATTCCAAAGTTAATGTTATTAGTTTTGTTTATGGCGGTACCTGGACGTCTACTGGACGTCTTTCGCGTTGATACCATCAGCTTGGTCTTTTCGCCATTTACTGCCAGTCCCATTTTGGGCAGACTCCTTCTCAAATCGTTCAAAGGTGGCTGTTACCGCTCGCAATGTTCGACCCATTATGCACACAGTGCCATTTCCGTTCACTTTTCCCTCTCGTATCACCTTTTCCAGCAAGATGTTAAAAAGATTGTCTGAAAGGGTTCCGATAAGTCTTTTTCGATTTTAACTGCTGATATTGTGCCAGTTAAAGTTATTCTGCATAGCCGTATTAATTTTGCAGGAATGCCAAACGCAGACATGGTTTAAACGCTCTGAACGTATAGGCCTGTTGAATGCGACGAATAGGTGGAATATGTCAATGTGTTTTTCGCGGGTCTCTTCCAACATCTAGCGCAGAGAGAAAATCTGGTCAATAATGGATTTGCCAGGTCTGAAGCCGCATTGGTAAGATCCAATAATGTCATTGACCATTGGTTTCAGTCGTTCACACAGCACGCTGGATATCACTTTATATGCGATGGGAATGAGACTTATTCCTCTATAGTTGGCACATATCATCTTGTCTCCTTTTTGTACACGGGACACAGGATGCTGAGGTTCCAATCATTGGGCATACATTCCTCTAACCAAATTGTACCAATGAGCTGATGCATGCTCCTTACCAGCATCTGATCACCAGTCTTGAAAAATTCGGCTGGTAACCATTGGTTCTGGGGTATCTTCTTCACCGCCGCTATTTGATACCAGAAGTTTTTCAAAATGCTCCTTCCAGATCCTCAACGCGCTGTCTGTATATGTCATCAGGTTTCCCTCTTCATCTCTACAGGACGATGTGCCTACCCCAAAACCTTCGGTTTGATCTTTTACTCGACGTCTTTTGTCTGAAAATATGTTTCTCCTCTCTCCTTTTCACCCGATAATTCTCTTTTCTTTTTTACGTGTTGCTACTGTGTGCAGGGTTGCCCTATACGCTGCGTTCGTCATATTAGTAACATTACGACACTCCTGATTGTACCACGGGTTTCTTTATGATGGTCTTTGGCTTTTGCTGCAGTTTGTAGGGAGTGGGCAATTCTTTGCCATTGTGGTTCTATATTATTATCGGGACAAGGAGTGCTTACGTCAAACAGGTGGGTAAGATGAGCGGAGTAGGCGTCTGCTATCTGTTGTGTTTGCAGCTTTTCGACGTGGAGTTTCCGTTATGTGTTAGATCGCACCTTCGCTGCTACATTATGACGAATGCGAAACTTGCTACAAGGTAGAGGTCCGAATCGATATTCGCTCCTCGGATCGGTCAAACGTCTAAAAAACTGGATGAATGTCGTCCGTCTATCACAACGGGATCGATTTGATTTCTCGTTGTGCGATCGGGAGAAATCCAGGTGGCCTTGTGTATGTCGAGATGCTTGAATATTGTACTGCTAACCACCATATTTGTTGCTGCCGCGAAGTAAATCAATCAAATCATGCCGTTGTCTGATGTGTCTTCACGAAGGCTGAGTTTTCCCACGGTGGACCCAAAAATATTTTCCCTTCTGAGTTTTGCATTAAAATTTCCTAGCAGCATTTTAATGTCATGATCAGGGCTGCGGTCATATGCAGTTTCTAGGCGCTCGTAAAAAAACATCTTTGGTCTGTTCAGCCTTGTCTTCGGTCGGAGCATGAGCGCAAATGAGACTGAAATAGAAGAACTTCGCTTTTATACGGATTATAGCAATTCGCTCATCTACTGAAGTGAATCTGGAGAAGATGTATTTTATTCTCCAGGGTAGCGAGATATGTTTTAGGCGCTCGTAAAATATGTCATGGGTCTGTTCATCTTTGTCTTCGGTCGAAGAATGTGGAAGAACTACGCTTTTATACGGATTATAGCAATTCGCTCATCTACTGGAGTGAATTTGGAGACGAGGTCTTTTATTCTTCTGTTAACCATAAATCTGCGAAAACTGTTAACCAAGCGAAAACTGCGCATTTTCTGTTCAACGTGCGTACATTCAAAGTGCAGATTCGCAGATCGTGGTACTTTATTGCGGGCCGTCTACGTTAGGACGGTTTGGTTTCCTTTTTCGTTGTTTTTTCATAGTAGCAGTATTTTATCGAGTGTGGGCAACTAACCTGACGCCTCAACCCATTTTATAGTTCTTATGGGAGAATACATATAGCAACCACAGGTGACACCTCGGGGAGGTCTGTGTCAACAATTGAGATAAAAAGGGGCCAAAATAAGCCTGGGTTTAACCATGCTAAAACCAATCAGAGCCGTTTCTTGGTACCTATCATCCCCTACGTCACTCAATATGTCCGTATACTGTGCGAAAATTCGCATATTATTAAATGATAAAGTAACAGTCCATTGTATTTAAATTGTTTGAATATATTTTTCTTTAAACACCGCTTAATATACAAATGTGTATGTTAATATGTATATACGATATTAACATACAAATTTGTATATGAAGCGCCTGTTAAATTTTGGCACGCTTCTTCAACTTCCTTAAACAAGAATATTGAAAACAATAAATTAAATAAATATTTGGGAATACATATATGCTTCGATCGTCATTAGCACTGCCATCGCCACAAAAATCAAATACGAAAAAATTGTATTGTTAAACCGAAATATTTCTATGAGTCATAATGAGAATATTTAACGCATTAACCTTCCAATGTGTTACTAAAGTGTTAGGATAGCGGGCAAAGGTAAATCGAATTAAAATTCTAAAGAATTTCATTGTCCACGATTGGTACTTTCCAATGTGGTAAACGAACAACAAAATGACGTATGATGTCATGAGTAGTAATATTTTATGGTAGTGATTAAGCTGCAAATGTAGCGGGTGGAGATGCAGGGAATTGTGTCGTAAAATTTGGCATTTGTGAATGGTTAATCCAATGATTCACTTTTAAGGTAAGAACATTTTTTGTGGATGGATAAAAAGGAAATGTTAACATTTCCTTTCCAATTCGAATATTTGCTGTAATGGTATTCAATAAAAATAAATTAGTATTCAATGAAAATAAAATGATTTTAGGAAACCCCCTATGGGGATTTTCTGGAATATGTTTAAAACCCTGAAGAGGTGATCACAATTGGCCACCGAGATTTTGTTATTTAAAACTTGGTAATTTCTTCCTTGGTGTCGATCCTAGATAGAATTCGTGAGACTAGAAGTCGAAGCAAGGCCCGCTTTGGGCGCCATTTGTCACTAATTTGTAATATGTTTACGTTAGTTGTTATTATTTGTTTCTTTGCAGAATCGACCTAGACCGATAAAGGTAACATTTGCTAATTGTCGTAGCGGACGTTGGGCGCCATTTCAGATTTTTCTTTTTTTAACTAACATAGTCTGTCACGATTCATGTATACACGTGTTTAATACAACTTTGCGGCTACATTTTAAATAAATTGTCATCAATTTTAATTTTGTTGTCTTATACATACATTTATTTTAATATGACCGTCTAAAGCCACAAAGGCGGGAAACAATTAAACAAATGTATCATCACTTCATCCTCTCACTCTTTCATCTCTTGAAACCACAGAGCAATGAATAACAAAAACACAAAAAACCTATAACGTCACGTTCGTTGTTATATTTATGTATGAAACAATTCATTAACCTTTCAATTTGTATTTTTAACCGACTAAAGATATACAATCTGAGATTGATTAATATATTTAAATATAAATTATTATATATACAATATGTTTTTTTTGCTAATACATAAAACATATTAAATTCGATACAATTTATTTATAACACTTCAACATTTCTTCATCTTTTCTGTTTCATTTTAGGATTCATCATCGATGACCTCACAACCCTACTCCCACCGTGATGAGGATATGTTAACGGATCCCAAATTGACAACAGTTTTCGCCAATTACAAATATGATGTTGAAATTCTGGAATCGGGTGAAGATAAAAGTTCAGAGCTTGCAGAACTTGAGGAGCGTTATCATGGACCAGCAATAGTCATTAATACCGATGAATTTATTAATGAAAATATTGAAATGAATGCTGCCGATGAAGAGGAGAGAGCCGACAAGAAAGCCTTAGCCACAAGTCATTTAATTTTGAGTATAATTTTGGTTGTTTTGGCGCTGGTTTCGATTGCCCTGTACACAGCTGTGGTTATATGGCGTAATCATATTGAGTAAGTAGGAAAATCACTACAATAAGAGTGATTTTTATACCCTCCACCGTAGTATGGAGGGTATATTAATTTTGTCATCCCGTTTGTAACTCATCGAAATATTCATTTCCGACCCTATAAAGTATATATTCTTGATCAGGGAAAAATTTAAAGACGATCTAGCAATGTCCGTCCGTATGTCCGTCCGTCTGTTGTAATCACGCTACCTTCTGAAGGAATTGAGATAGGGTGCTGAAATTTTGCCTACGTTTAGGCATAGCTCCTATATAACAGTACCCCCCAAATATAGGTCCATATATCGGTACCTCCTAAATTTCAGTATTTTTGGGGTTTTGATCGTATTTTTCCACCGAATTGGCTGTAATTTAGTATTTTGAGTTCTTAATATGTACCAAATCTCTCCACAAAATATTATAAATAGACCTAGACCCTATGTGGGAGGTACCAGAAGGAGGGGACCGATATTCCCCATGTTCGAACTTGAACTAATGGGCAAAGTTTGGATGACATCAACATTTTTTGAAACAAATTTGGTCCAAATATAGGTCTAGGACCTATATTTAGAACCATAATCGGTTTGTAGAAATGTCGGTATAGGTACACTTTTTGGTATGTTCCCTATATTTTTATTTCAAGTACCTGTCAGTATATTTATGGTGGAGGGTATCCAATGTTCGGTCCGGCCGAACATAAGGCTTTTTTGTTAGTTTCTCTTTCAAGATGAGCTACATGATCGATGTTGCAATGAAAAGGAAAACCAGAGAGATACTACATTCCCAGCATTATGCGACGCGTTTCGCCGTTGGTTAAGCGGCTCATCAGGTATATTGGGCAATGTGGCGAAATTGCATCTACGAATTAAATTCAACCGTGTCAAGATTCGGACATTTGGCATCACACCAGAACATTCCTTTTCAGAGCAGATTTTTCTTGTAGTGACGGACTTTTTTCCATACATGGTATACAACTGCATATTGTGAAACCTTAGAAAGATAAGGAGGTGGCTTTGAACGCTAAGGCGCCAGACAACAATGAACAGATGCCATGGGAACCAGGGTTCAAATCCCAGCCGGGCTCAAGCTGAATTTTTGAGTTTTATGACTTTTTAGGGAGAAGGATCTTTCGCTTTTTCACTTGTTTTAAATAATTTTTTTCATGGTCTCCGATAAGGTTGGATTTTTGAAATCGTTTTTTCCTAGGACTCCGATAATTTTTTTAAAGTATGCCCGATAGGCGTGGATTTTTTAAATAATTTTTTTAAAGTATGGCCGATAGGCGTGGATTTTTTAAATATTTCTTTTTCAATAATTTTTTCCTAGGGCTCCGATAGGCGTGCATTTTGTAAATCATTATTTCAAGGTCTCCAATAGGCGTGTATTTTTTAAATATTTTTTTTTTTTCAAGGCCAGATTGAAATAACACTTCTTATTGGAATCCCTATATTTTCATTGTTCCTCAGACTATAATTGTATTATTGAAGAATAAACATTTCTCATTTCGTATACATAATTTTTTTAAAGAATCCCCGATAAGCGTGGATTTTTTAAATATTTCTTTTTCAATAATTTTTTCCTAGGGCTCCGATAGGCGTGCATTTTGTAAATCCAATAGGCGTGTATTTTTTAAATATTTTTTTTTCAAGGCCAGATTGAAATAACACTTCTTATTGGAATCCCTATATTTTCATTGTTCCTCAGACTATAATTGTATTATTGAAGAATAAACATTTCTCATTTCGTATACATATCAAGTTGTCACTTGGAAATTCCCCTTACGATTTCCATTTTTTGTGATTTAGTTTTGCAATTGTTAATTGATGTTAATTCGTTTTAATTAAATTAATTCTACGTTGTTAATTCCGTTCTTCTTAATTTATCGTTTCAGGCAACGTTATGGCATGCGCGAATTACTGGTCACCAATGATAATCAAGATTATTGGCCTCAACATATGACAGATACAGCGGCCGCAGTTCCACAGCAGGCAACACAACAAAACTTGCCTCCCTCAGTGCCCCACCATCCGCGACAACAACCTCAACATCAAAGTGCATAGTTCGATCATTGCAAAAAATATCAGCATTTCATCGTAATCGCTGATTTTAAGTTGAATTGTGACACACACACAAAAAATTGAAATGCAATTACATATTTCAATGCAACCAGTCACATTTTCTTTTTTGTATTTAGACGGAAACACACGGCTCGTCGAAACAGGGGAAAGTTTTACAAATCGTCAACAATTCAACAGAAAAGTAAAAAAAAAAAAAACTAAAATTTAAACACAATCCCATTGTTTTCCCAAGTAGTTTAGTTCGATAATTTATTCTGATACGATAATTGTTTTGTTTAGTATGTAATTCGTATGTTTAAATAAGGAATGTTCGTATGTACATATGTATGTATGAATTTGTTGTATCCAAGTTGCCTTCAATTTGGAAAGGAAAAGTCAGTTCAGATGTCATCATGTAACAATAATGCCTCCAGAGAGCCCGTATATGGTCTGTCTGGCTGCTGTATTGTTGTAATGTAGTTAGTAAGTCTGTGATATAATTTATAAAACAAAAATAACAAAAAACAATATTGGGTTTTACGTTGTTCCAATACAAATTTCTTATAGATTTGAAAAAAAAAAACATTTGCAACAATGTACCCAGTATTTGTGAATGTGGATTTTTCCACAATAGTTTTTAACAGAAACAAAACTAACAAAATGACAATAAATTTTTTATACAACGTATTATTATGTAGTTTTTAAAAAATAATTTTTGTAATAAAAATGTATTTGAATTTAAGTAAAATACTAATTTTTGTGTTTCTATTTCTAAAATATTAGATGAGACTTTTTTCCAAAACACTATTGTCGCGAATTAATAACCAACAGCGACATTGATTTTTAAAAAAAAATTTTTAAATGTCCACTATTGGCGTGAATTTTTTAAAAAGTAAATTCCACGGCTACAATATTTGGACTTTAAAAAAATGTTTAAAGATCTATATTAGGTGAGGCTTTTTCTAAATATATTTCTTAGATACTTTATTTGTCCTCAAAAAAAAAAAAAAAAAAAAAAATATTCAAGTCCTAGAAAAAAATTATTTAAAAAATCCACGCCTATCGGAACTCTAGAAAAATTTACTTATTTACTTAACTGGCTTGTGACAGAACTTTCGTTCCATAAACCGAACTTAAAAAAGATTTCCAGGCGCGTCGGTCTTTAGCGAAGTTTTTCCAATTTTAAAGACCATATTCGGCAATGTTGTCTTCGACTTGATCTTTCTACGTATTCTTGGCCTTCCCCTTCTGCGTTAACCATCAGCTGGTTCGCTTTTATATGCCTTCTGGGCTGGGGCATCTTCATCCATTCTTACAACATGACCTAGCCAACGTAGTCGCTGCAGCTCAATACGTCTAACAATGTCGATGTCCGAAAATATCTGGTACAACTCATGGTTCATTCGACGGCGATATTCACCGTCAACGCAGATCGGCCCATAGATCTTTTGGGAAAATTTTTCTCTCAATCACTCCAAGAGCTGCCTCATCTGCTTGCATAAGTACACATGCTTCAGATCCATACAACAGCGTGGGTAGTCTTGTAGAGTGTGAATTAGGTCTGGCGGGAGGTGTCCATGCTTTTAAGTTGTTTGCTCAGACCATAGTAGCATCTGTTAACCATCACTATCCTTCTCCGAATTTCAAAACTGACGTCCAGTAGTCTCGGACTGTAGTTCTCAAGTTCCACAGTTGGTCCGAGACTACTGGACGTCTAGCGCGCAGACTCTTTCTCAATTTGTTCAAAGGTGGCTGTAACCCCTCTCAATGTTCGACCCATTATGTCGATGTCATCGGCGTAGGCGAGTAACATGTGTTGTTTGGTATACAGAGTGCCATTTCTGTTCACTTTTGCCTCTCGTATGACCTTTTCCAGCAGGATGTTAAAAAGGTCACATGGCAAATTGTCACTTTGTCTGAATCCTCGTTCGGTATTAAAAGGGCTCCGAGAGATCCTTCCGACTTTAACTGGTGATCATGTGCCAGTTAAAGTTATCCTGCATAGCCGTATTAAATTTGCAGGAATGCCAAACGCAGACATGATACACCTCTGAACGGATAGGGCTGTCGAATGCGGTTTTATAGTCGACGAATAGGTGGAATGTGTCGATGTGTTTTTCCAGAATTTGGCGCAGAGTGAAAATCTGGTCAGGGTGGATTGGCCAGGTCTGAAGCCGCATTGTTATGGTCCAATAATGTCATTGACCATTGGCTTCAGTCGGTCACACAGTACGTTATACGGATTTATTCTACTGTTAACCATAAATCCGCAGCCTGATTCATGGCCGGGCGCTCGTAAAATATGTCTTTGGTCCGTTCATCTTTATCTTCGGTCGGAGCATCGGCGCAAATGTGACTGATGTAGAAGCACTTCGCTTTTATACGGATGATAGCAATTCACTCATCTACTGGAGTGAATCTGAATACGAGGTCTTTTATTCACCTGTTAACCATAAATACGCAGCCAAATTCACGTCTCGTTTCATGGCAGCTATAATACAGGGCGTAACCATCTGATTTACTTACGTCAGTCCCTTTCCATTGCATTTCCTGTAAGGCAATATTATCGACTTTGTACTTCTTGAGTACATCCGCCAAAGCGAACACAAGTGCAGATTCGCAGATCGTGGAACTTTATATGTTTGCGGGGGTCGTCAACATTAGGTGGGTTTGGTTTTCTTGTTCTTTTCTTTTTCATAGTAGGTTCGGTTTTCTGAGTGTGGGCAACTAACCCGACGCCTCAACCCAAATTTTATAGTTCTTATGGGCGAACTCGCGGCACATATTAGTTCACTATTTTATGGGGTGATGAAAATATGTACCCCAGGTGGCACCACGGGGATGTCAGTGTCCGCAATTGAAATGAAAGAGGGACCAAGATAAACCTGGACTTCGCCATGTTATAGCCAATCAGAGCCGTTGCTTGGTATCTGTCATTCCTTACGCACTGGTAATTTTCTAAGATTTTTTAAATTAAAAAAAAAAATCCACGTACATTTTTTGAAGAACAAATTACTTTTAATTTAAGTAAATTCATGCGCTAAGAGAATATATGAACTCCCTTAATGAGGTTTGCCGTACGCCTAAATGTATGCTTTAACTTTAGCAATGTTCTCCTTGTTTTATTCTTTTACTGTACACCCTATTAGTTTTGTGGCATTTGTTGTCACGGTCGGTCGTGTGGATTTTGCTCGTCTGCGTTTATCGTGTTTGGTGTTTGAAAATAGAATGCATTTTGTAAAAATATTGTATAAAATTATAAAACAAGTGTTAGAAAATCAAGTGGCATAAAAATTCTGTGGAACTGTGCTGAATTCTAATAAGAAAAATGCATTAACAAATAAGAAAATGTATTTGTGACAAGCTTTGTTGTGGCGTTGCCATATCATCAAATAATTCAATGAAAAGAAGTAACAGGTGCCCCATTTGGCAGTGCAATCGAGTGGCAATGCATTAAAAGCCTCAAACAGCTGTTTTTAATGTCATTGCTAGAGAGAGAATAAAAACAACAGAAACAACACAAACAGGCATAACACCGTTGAAAATAAAAGCGAAAACAAGCAAACCATTTTTTGTCTTTCTTTTGAAACTTTTCATTTTAAAACAAAATAATTTAATTTTTTTGAAATAAAAAAGGTTTCCCGCTGCATTATTGGAATACGTGGTGAAGTGGGTAAGTAATAGTTCATTTATATCCACAAAGATTTTCTAGAAAGAATCTGGAGGACCGGTATTTTCTTTCATTGATAAATTCAGATACATGAAGGTGTTCGTGTGTGCGTGCATTTGTTTGCCTGAACTTTGAACTCGTTTGCCTTTAGTTTCTATTTGGGAAAACAGACACACGGAGGAGCGCTTTCTATTTCACATCATCATCATCGTCGTTGTCATTATTATGGCTTTACTGCGCCTGTCTTGTACTTGACCGAGACATGCATTTCTCCCCAAATGGGGCTTTTTCGTTTTGTTTTTGGTTTGTCCACAAAATGTGTGTTTCGACATTTGGATTGTTGTTATGTTTCGTTTGTCGGTTTTCAATGAAACCATGAAACCCCCCCATGGGCCCCCACCATGATTATTATTTTTGTTTTTGGAATTATTATATTTCCTCTCTTTACTTTCTTTTGGAGATGTTTTTCGCATGTGCATTGTTGGTCGGCCATGTAGCGGGCTGTGTTGTGGATTCCTTCTCGATTCGAATTCGATTCCGATTCAGTTCTCTATTGACTCTTATGGTCTTATGGTGTACTTATCCGTCGTCGTCGCCGCAAAATCTCGTTAACTAAACCAAAGAAAGTCTTAAACTCAGGTGATCTCGAAAATCGTTATTTATTTTGCTGGCGAAGTGAAGTCGGTGGTCCGGTGGTTTTTCTTTGGATATATTTTCCTTTTTGCAATTTATTTTTGTTGTTAGTTTTGTATTCGGTTTATGAATTTTTAATACAAAAAAAACCTTCTTCAATATTATCGGGCACGGGCAGTGCAAACAAAACAAAAGTGGAAGTTTTCCAAAAAAAGTTCAACACAATTTGTTTTTTGTTTGTTGGCCAATTTGATTTCCATACACAGCGTATTGTGCATTGTTGTTGATTTTTTGTTGTTGCCAGCGATTTGGAAATGTGCATCCATTATGCATCAGTGCTTTAATTGTTATTAGAAAAAATAAATGAAAATACAAAACAAATAAAGGAAACAAGGGAAAATAAGTTTTGTGGCCTGGCCAAAAGACCAAAACAAATATTGTAATTTTCCATAAAGCATCACGTGTTCTGCTGCTGCACTATCGACGCGACATCAACTGTCATAAAAAAACAAAATCTATTTTTCAAATTGGATATTAGATGTTCTACATTCGTCAGTCTGTATTGCGGTAAGGAAACTACTTTGTTCAAACAACAGCTTACCTTGTTGTTAGTTGGCTGGTGTTTTTGTTTCTTTAGTCGATGTGTTGAAAGATTTGTAATATACACAATTCTGAGAAATAGCTAGACAAAGGGTACAAA